CTTTATATTGAATCGCGACAATTCGATTTGGTTGTAATATTTGGACATCGGTATTTGTTATGTGACTCATCCCCATTTGTAATAATTGTACCCCTGTTCCCGGATTCTTTTGTAATAGCTTAGACTTTTAATTCCCGTAATTTATTGCTTTCAATATGCTGTGTAGTAATTAGGCGTGTATGGCAAGATTTAAAAATCAATCGCTAGATGACCTAATCCAAGAATAAATAACTTGAAATCAATACACTTCTCACACGTGCACCTCTAGGGTAACCACGTTTGTTGCCTCGGAAACACGATCATGGCCCTCGAATATGAGACACTCTAGTAAATGACCCTTCGATAAATAAAGATCGTAGTCCCTCGATGACCCTCGATGTTGCCTTCGATAAAACGACCTCGTCCCTTGCAAAATTGCTAGAGCGTCTCCCAAGTTGCTTTCAATGATTGTATGCGATGACCCGCGCATGTCTTGTTTAACATCCAATTACAAGGTTGTTTACCAAATGCAATGGTAAAACAACACTGTCAAAAGGGTTAATAATGTGTAGGAAAGACTCTTGAGTAAATAGGGTAGACAACTCTTAGTTACTTGATCAAAACTTGCAAAAACATCCTTGCTATTTTCAAACACACTTCACAATACAATTTCAAAACATTTCCCAAAAACAAACTTTCAAACATTGAAATATCTTTTCAAAAGACAAACACCTTTGTATATATTCAAACAAGAATCATTACAAAGGTTGCCTAGACAAGGCCTTTTTTCAAAACATTTTCAAAATCACACACAAAGCACCATTTCAAACAATTGAAAAGCAAAAGCAAGTGATCTAAACAAGTAACTAAGATCCCATGGATAACCATGGATGAAAAGGATGATTGCACCTTACCTTTTCATAATCTACCCCCCTAACCCAAGAAAACATCTCAAAGGTCTTTCCTGTGCTTTTTGACCTTTCCTTTGGATAAAATAAAAAGTCGGTGATGACTCTTGCTAAACTGAAACATTTGCGAACACAAACGCAAAACCTCAAGTCAGTTCTCCCACCGTATCACAGAACTGGCGACTCTGCTGGGGAGATCTATAATTATGGGGTTACCTTAGGGTTTTAGATCACCTTTACATGCTTATCTTATTTAACTTGTATGCTTTGCTTTTTTGGTTCCTTGTTTGGGTTTGTTTTAAATCTTACACCCGGATTTGGGGGCACCTTTTAAGTAAGTAGCAATAAACTGTGAGGGAACTGTGCGGGGTATACCGATATGGTTGAAGCAGTAGCTACGTTGATGTGGCACATTGATTAGTACCGGTAACCCTTGAGTTGAATCAAGGAGAGTACGGGGCCGCTGCGTGGTGTCGTGAAGCATCGACTGACTTTAGAACCTTACTTGACCATCTTGGCCTTATTAGGGGTAGTGAGATGACCGGCTTTGGTACAGTCCGAAGTTGGTAGATACTCGATACTACACTCATTGAGGATTGTTTTCTTGGAATATTTCGGTCGCCAGTAAAGTGGATAAACTGAAATAATAAACACAGAAAACAATCCAGTGATATTGAGCTCCTTAGAACCCGGTTACTATTTCTAGGACAGGTTGAGCCAACTAGACTTCAGGAGGGTACTTACCTACGAACTCCGTGCAAGCCTAAACTTAAGGACTTGTCTGCTTTGTGTGAATATAACTGTTTGTATATAACTTGCTTACTTCTCATATCTGTACATAACATCATAGCATCATACCATAGCATTTTCAATAACTATTTTAAGGGTCTCGAGGGTCTTTGATGTAGGGTCACGTTGAACAAGACGTCTACCAAAGGGCAAGAGGATTCATTTTCCTCTAAACAAACGCCGTTAAAGATCAAGTACAACAACTTGAATCGAGGGCTATGACCCACTTGACATGGTGAGCTTGATTCTCGTGGAAAGACATCCACCGATACGAAGTTCTCCAATCAAAGATGTTGATCGAAGTTCAACCTCTAACATTTTCTTGTGCTTACCCCGTGAGATCCTTGAAAACATGCATCCACATATCATGCATCGTATCATGACAGGTTTCCCCCTTTTCAGGTCTCCTTATTTTCCTACTGTTTATTTCAGTAGATATGGCTCTAGAGAGGACTGTCAAAGATATCCAGCCTCAAAACGCTCAACTTCACGAAATGTTCTTGAACCTGTCCAAGGGACAAGAAGAAGTGAAAGCTCTCCTCACAAGGGGCATGGTCCTAGGGAATCCAGGGGGCATCAGGAATGATCAGTTGGAAGGGCTACAGATTGAGATGGCAAGAATGAAAATCCAAATGATGGGACAACTGGTGGGCTAGATGGCTCTCATCCAAAACCTGGCTCAAGGACAAGAGGAGTTAAAGGTCCTCATCAACAAACTGCATCAGGATGGATGTAACCAAATGGTGAAAACAACTAGGGTTGAGGATCAAGTCATCATTCAGCCTCCCTTGATACAAG